TACCCTATCAATCTATCACATATTTATGTCATTTAGCATGGACGCCGCAATACAGCATATATGACACGTTTGCTCTTTGCCAATATGTCATTCGACGAATCATTCACATTTCAAATATTAGAATGGTCGGTTTTATTATTAAAATCAAGTAGGCGTCGTAAGTGTCGTCGAAGTAAGTACATGGCTCATTAAAAAATAAAGTAAAACTAATTGCATGAAGTAAATTTAGACCCATTATTTCATGTTTGGCGATTAATATTGCAGTTATAAAGATGATTGAATCATTTTTACAGTTCTATTCAGCTTGTGTTATTGAATACCATCGGGTAAATGCACACATATTTTGATTAAACTTAAATTTGATGGGCTCTCATTGCCCGTGTATGTGTTCTGAAGTATCTTTATGCTACATGAATATAGGTGTTAGGCATTTATTTTTCTCTGCTCCGCGCAGGAAGCTTTCTGCTCCTGACATGTAACTGTCATACCGAGTTTAAACGCACAGTTTCTGAAATACACAAAGCGCGCCACACGTTTCCGACTCGTCAACGCACGCTGAGCTGCAGCCCGTAAGTTGTGTATAGGACAGTGTTTCGCAACGACTGGCGATGAACCAGATAAGCCTAGAATGGATGACGCACACAGGACACGTTCCCGGCCGCCAGCGACGGTCCCGTGTGCGGGTCACACGTCCCTGACCCCCTACGACCCGCTTGGCTGACCTTTTCTCGCGTCGCAGGTAACAGCTGGCGACCTGCGTCCGCTCACCTTCGGCAGCCAACTGGCGAGAGTTCCGTCGACGCCGACGAAATCTGTGTCGTCGACGCCGACGAAGTCCGTGCGGGCGGCGGCGGCTGCCGCAATCTTCGTGAGCAGGTCGCTGGCTGAGAGTTGCCGGAAATTTCACGCGAGTTCACAGTGTAGAGGCGTGAGCCAAGGCGTCAGGGGACAGCGCCAATGATTTACCAATGGTTGCCTGACCTGACCCAGCATAAAACAAGTGTAACTTCCCCAACATGCGTCACCATACTGAGGATTTGCGGCGTATATGTGCATTGCACTTTCGCGCGACATTTCATGGAAAAGATTCACGCACCGAAATGGGGGCACCATTGAACGCATAACAGGAATCTACGGAAATCTGCGAGAATTGCCTGCAGGAATCTGTGATTCCCAGAACATGATCAAAACCGGGCGACGCGGGATAGTTTTCCCAGCTGTTCCGACCGCAATTCCGACTCGTGGACAGATGCATTATGGGCGTTTGTGAAGTGGTCTACACAGCACAATTCAGAGAAGTATAAATTTGTGCGTTTCACTCATAGCTGATCTTCCATGCAAATGCGTGCATACCATCTTTCTGTGAGAAATCGTGTGGTTTGTTCTGTAAACTACGCACTTTGACATTATCCTTTTATTTCCATTCGTAAGTAGACTTTTCAGGCATGCGACAGCTGATGAAATCTGCAACACGAAGCAGCGCCTAGAAGTCAGGTTACAAGAACAGCGACCCCTGAAGGGTACGCGTAGCTACAATCCTACTGGGCACAAGGGGGGGGGGGGGGGGGAGACACATCTCAGTTGCAGCTACATCAATGAGCATAACTGCCCGAACACCCATAGTTATCCTGTGAGGAATAAATGCAGCGCGAAACATGGAGTGTAACGACCCAGGTGTTCAAAACCCACGGTGTAGAATTAACAGCCAAGTAGTTGAAGCTGCCTGTTTTGCTTTTTTGTTCTCACTTCAACCAGCCTGAATTTTTAATCAGTGACATTAGTTGTTACAGGCGGTGAGTTTATTGATCTCGAATCTTATGATGGCTCATATTTCAGAAAAAAATATAGTCATTAAGCTTTCAGATGCACGTTTCCGACAGATGGCTTCTCGAACTGTTGATGCTAGTGCGAGTTGAAAAATCGTGTTCGTCTGCTACCAGTTCCACATTGGTGCGCCGTATGGCTCTAAAACTTGCACGGCCGAGTCTTGGTCGTTTGGCCTATAGGCTAGTCCTTGGGAAAACTGAAAGAATGTCTTTTATCCTCGAGTCGCATTGCCGTGGAACTTTGATAAAATGCGCCAAAAATGCTGTTTTGTACGAGAAGGTATCAAGTAATCTTACACAAAGGTCGTTTTTACCAAGGATTACGGTGCGAAACTTTTAAAGAAGTAAAAAAAGCATTGTTATCCAAAGACAAAACTTTTCTCGGCAGTTTTATGCTAGAAATATTTTGCAAAGATTCAAAATTGGTTTGTAAATGCATATGTCGCTACAACATTATGGATGGCTGACCTTAAGCAAGAGCATATATTTATGGGGAGGTATGATGCCAAATTTGTTTCCTACGGAAACTTTCCGAACCTGTTTACAAAATATCGGTGGCATATCTGACATGTCTGACGCAGACGCGACAAAACAAACTCCTATATCCTGACATTGTTCCTGTTGATGGGCATGCAGAACTCACATCGCTGTCGCCTCAAGACTATACACCTTGG